CGTAGATACTGCGCCCGTAACACATATATATTTCATTTGTTTATCTGAGCTAATAACAAATGTTGATGTGAGGGAAGGTTATTCGGTTCGATGGTGTTCAGAAGCCACAACAAGAAAGCAACACTATACACCCACCTTAAAAAAAATAGAACCTGGACAGGAATTTAAATTACCTTCGAAAGAAGAATATTCTGTGAATTTACAAGTTATGACCTTTTCCTTTTGTTCATTTATTACTGACTAACGCTATAAACTTTTTGTGTTCTGGTGTAATTCTAGCTTTAATGTTACAAATGGTACCCGAACATATGATAGTGCGCTTCCTTGGAAGACCTGCAATAGAATAGAAAAACTTAACAATACTAAGTAGTTAGTTTGTATAATAAAAAAATGTTTCTTTCTTAAATACAAATCTCTTTGAATATAATAATTCTAGAAAGATTTGGAGCTTAGAAAGTGTACTTACGTTGCGAATTTCGGAATTTCAGAGTCAATAAACTTTATATTATTTACTCAATCCACCTTGGGTAAGTTGTATAAAGATTCTTCTTTTAATCCTGTTTGTACTTTAGCCATTTTTAAAAAATTAAATCATTTTAAAATAAATCAAAATAATCTCGCAATCGAAACCGAGGTTAGGATTTTTGACATTATAGACGCAGATATTAAACCACGTTGCCAGATTCAGAGAAAATATTTTGCGATATGATTTGAATTATATTTCGATTAAGAAGAAAAGTTTATTGAAATATAGTCTATTTAAAAACCAGGAGGAGTAATTCGAAAAGCCTTACTCACACCACTAAAAGTAACTAAATTAGTTACTAAAGAGCGTGTTTCGAAATAGTCGCGTTCAAAATCTCTAAAATAGTTGTCATTATCGGTGCGACTGGTCCTAGTCAACGAACGGCCAATGAGAGATCAAGACACGAATAAATATGTCTAGAAGTCAACTTTTTATTGGTCCCAGACAACGGTAGTAAATTTCTGTGATCTTGGGCAAAAACTAACTGACAATTGATTGAAAATTGAAATTAAATATGGCTGTTGACTTTGTTGATGTTATAGGTTATCAGAAAGTTAAATATTTTTATTTGAAAATCGACTTTTTGAGAATAACTTTAATATTTTTAAAATGGATATTGAATATTTAAGAAAATTGTTAATAGAATATTTAGATGCAGGTTAGTATAAAATATAAAAATATAATTTGTTTACATTTCAATGATAGGTACATTTTGTTGTAGGTATAAACTTAAGTAAAAGTTAATAAGTGGCTTGGACCCCTTTACCACACAGTACTCTTTACTCTGGATTACACAGTGACTGGAATTCCTCCCATGAGTAATATGAATATGTGGCTTATTTTAGTGTTAACTTATAGTTAATACACTAAAGAGCAAATAACCAGAGAGCATAGAACATAATTGGGCGATTATGAGATGTTTTTTTATATCAACAGAGAAACATTTATTTGTGATTTGGCCCTAATATTAGACGTTGAATATTGAATATTTTGTTACATTTGTTTGTTACATACTTATATGTGTATATCAAGTAAACGTGCTACTTCTAAGAAATTCTTCAATTCAAGGGTTTAAGAAATAAATAAATAAATGTTCAAAAATTAAGGGAGTTGTGTTTTAATAAAAAGAGTATATCGTAGGTACTTCGGTTTTTATCAAATACATAAGATTACATTTCTTGCTAAAACATCTTTTTAAAAAATTCATTAAGATATGGTTCTGATAAATAGAATATAGTAGGTAATTCTGATAAGTAGAATATAGTGATGTTTGTTTAGAATAATACACCTATACCTATGTATTATCATCTAGAACTTGTGATTGTAAAAACTATCAAAACATTTCAACATTGGTTGTGGTTTTAAAAAACTGTGTGAAGGCTTTTATTTTAATTTTTTGTTTGGTCAGTTATAAGGAGGTTACTTTAACATTAAAAGTACATCACATGGGAGGTTCAATGTTTTATAGGGAAGTAGCTGTTACATTCATAGATCGTTTTGTGCTCGCTGGGTGAAGATATTCAAAAGCTAGCAGACCTATAAAGTTTATGAGTCAGAATTTGATTTTACGAGTATATTTTTTAATTTAAAGTATTTTATTTATACCTACCTATGTATTTATTGTGACAATTTTGTTGATGGTTTTGTTTTCTAATAAAAATTACTTGAATATTCACTTACAGTTTAATCATTTAGGTAAATTCCTCAATTTTTAAAACTAACAAATTTGTTTTTTTGTTTAACTAGAACACCAAAAAGCAATGTTGACCAATTTATAATATGTACTACAGTGCACAGTTTTGTAAAGTTTTTTTTTTTGAAAATGTGTATTAAAAAAACAACATGAATAGTAGTTATCTTTATTTTAAAAATTTGCTATAATATTTTAATTAATAATAAATTTGCAAAACACAAACAGAACAAATACATAAGTAGTGTCTATACAACATATTAAGTAAAATGCCAAAGTTCATCTTGACATTTACATAGAAACATAAAGAAAAAACACCAGGTACTCAATATATTAATTAACATCAGAAGATTCGGATTCAAAAGATTCCATTTCATCTGAGCTTCCAGTGTTGGCAGTTATTATTAAGGGCTCTAACATGTCATCCATTATTCCATCCAATGTATTCATTTTATCTTCTTCCTTAATCACATGTTGTACACATTTATGCCAATTTGAAGGCATTACATTTCTAATAGCTTGTAATAAAAGGCCTTTCACATGTGCTAACTTAAAAGTTGTATTTTTAGCTGTCACCTTATTCTTTATTTGTGCCCATATCAATTCTATCGGATTTAACTCGCAGTGGTATGGGGGCAATCACAACACAACTTTACTGGCTTCTTTTGCCATTTCATCGACAACATACAAATTATGTGCATCTTTATGTTGCTGAATTAGGTGTAAAAGTTGACACCTCTTCATATTTAAATCAAATTTAATATTTTTCATATGTAACCACTCCTGCATTTCAGCTTTTCTTGAGGACGAGGAGGGAATTTTCTCAACTTTTCGGCTATGATATGATGCATTATCCATCACAATTACAGCATCATCAGGTATTTTTGTCAAAAAAGTAAAAAACCAATTCTCAAATACTTCAGAATTCATTTCTTCATGGTAATCTCCTGTCTTTTTGCCTTCGAAGACCAATAATGCATCTTTTACAAACCTTCTTCAGAACCAGCATGTAAAATAATGAGGCGTCCTTCCCTTTCCTATCGGGCTTTTCAGGCCCGTGGTTAAACCTTCAATAAATGCTTGACGTCTGCTGGTTACATTTTGGTCCACCCATGTTTTTCCCTTACTATGACCTTCATTAGTCCAAGTTTCATCTAAGTAAAAGATTGGCCTGTTTTCTCTTCTATATTGTTTGATCGATTGTAAATATGATAACCTCCATCTACAGATATCATCACGTTCTATTAATACACTTTGACGATTTCTTTTCAAATATCTAAAATATATATATATATATATATATATATATATATATATATATATATATATATAATAAATAAACATTTCATTTGACTTTTCAAAGTTACAAACTTACCTAAAGTTAATAAGTTTTAAGAAAGTATATAAATATGACTCAGATATTTGTGGCAAATCTAAACGTTTCTTCAATGCTTGTGGAATTTTATTTATTGTAGGTAATTCATTTTTTAAAAATAAATCATGTACCAATCTTCTAACAGCATTTTTGAACCCCTCGTCAAATGTTTTTAGAAGTCCGGGTCTTCCACCAATATTTTTTGGACTAGATATGATTCCACTTTTACGGTATTGTTTTAATACCCGGTAAACTGTCGACTTTACAACTCCTATAAAAAAATGTTGGGTATTTATTACCATTTTTAATTTGAAAGTAATGAGTAGGTATAACTTACCGGCGGCTTGAGAAATTTTGGATACAATATCCACAATTTTGGTTTTTGGTTTATCTTCCAATACCTGTTTGTACATATTTATTATGTGCTGTTTTTTCTGCGAGACTTAAATGGCCTAAACTCAAACGTTTTCGCTGTTTTGGTGGACTACGCAAGAAACTGCTACCTCTACTAGTACTCGGTATAGAATTAGCCGTAATCGCAGAAAGCTAAGTAATAATGATAAGAGATCAAACAAAAACTGAAAGCAATAACAGAATTAAAAATATAAATAAAATGTCAGAAGTGTCAATAATATCACTTATTAGCTGATGTTAATGCAAAAGTGATGTGTGAAACTGGCTGCAATCTGACCAATCAGAAGTCTCCAGAATTGACAACTTAAATTCAAATCGCTCCTCCTAGTTTTTAAATAGACTATAATAAGTGTCAAGTTGCTTCATAAAAACTGAATTTAAAGAATTATTCTTTTAGTTTTAATATATATCTTTTGTGTTAAATTATACTATCTTAACCTTTAAATTTTCCGTTATAAGGAATGTCAATAATTCTTTGTAGGAAGCGGCAACAAGGTAAAAACATATCGATTATTGTCTGGAAGGTTATAAATTGGCCAATCAGATTTTAAGCTTCATTATGACGATGCCTAAAAATAATTGTGGAGCGCGTTTCAAATTTTCTTGATTTTTTTTGAATTTTAAAAAATTCTTGTGGAAAAATTTGAAAAGAGAAAAATTTCAAAAAAATATTTTTGAATTTCACTAAACACGCCCATTGCAAGTTAGTTAGTTAGTTTCAAATTTATTAAAATCGGAATTTAAATACCTGTTTTGTCTAAGATATTCAATTGATGCAAAATGTAATACATAATTAGAGGAATTGTTTTCCATCTTCTTCCATATCAAAAACCTTCACATTTAATATTTTTGGTAATTCCACATCATACATATATCTTCAATAAATTCATGGCCACTACCGGTTAAAATTAAAAAAAAGCAAATGTTAAACTCGTCTGTCTGTATATAGTTTACTCGTTTAATAATAAATACATGCCTATTATTAGTGGCTTGACCGTTTTGTACAAAGTACCTATGTTAATTTGTGAGTTTTAGATTTTTCCGGTAATTATAGAACAATATTTTTATTAATTATAAAAATAAAATTAATTATTAAGTTTCCTAAATTAAAATATTTTTAAATACTGCACTTAAGATATTACATGTATGTACATGTTTTGTACTTTGACATCTTGATAATTCGATAAAATTAATTACTGAATATAAATTATTGTTACTGTAATTAATGTGTTAATAATTATTGTAAAAAAAAACTTTTTCTATAGCATGAAGTAAGCATGTACCTACTTATTTTTTTAACCAATCTAACTTATTTGAAAATCTCATTTGCATCCTTGCTTATTGCCAATTTTAATTTGGGAATGTATCTTAAGAGATTTTATACTTTTTAGATAATAATACACATAAAAATTTTATTCTCAGAAAAAAATCTACTTTTTATTTATAAAACGGATAAATCGACTAATGAAGTGTATAATCGATGAAAGCTTATTATTAACAAAATAATATTATAAAATTTATATAAATAATATGTTCATCAATTAAACATGTGTATAAATACATATTGTTAAAATTTAAAATTAAATTCGAGAGACCCTAAAATGGTGGTTCCCGCAAAAATGAGAAATGATTTAACTCGGAACGAAAGACCGAAAGCCGATAGTAGTATTAGGACGTTGAATTTTTTGGTTTGTGAAGCATTGGCATTAACAAGCTTTGATTTATAAAACCATTCTATATCGCCTTTTGATTAGGGTTTAAAAACTTATTCGAGCAATTTATCCAATAAGAATTGTCCCCTTTACCTCTTAAGCCTGCTCATGTAAAATGTTTGGGCTCCTTACTTCGCCTATTTATATTCTATTAATAAAGGACAAAAGGATGAGTATTGCAACTTTGTTAAAAGAAATAAATTGGCTTTCAGTTCAGAATTCGCATCAGATCTATTAGAAAAAAAATCAATATAATTCGCAATATCACAACTATAATACAAGAAGCTGACTTTCATATACGGCAAGCCATCACTGAAAATTCCCGAAATACAATTTTTATTAAAGGTTTAAAAAATTTAATAGACTGCCTACAGAAATTAAAAAAAAAAACAATAAATGTATAAATAAGTAACCTCAAGCAATACTTGATAAATAAACAGAACGTATATACTTTCTTGTGATAATACTCTCCAAACCTGCCCTATTTAAGTATTTCCCTTAATTTATTGTCATTCTACCCCATTATAGGTTATAGGAACTTATAGCCACAAAATTATTTTTTTGTTATCATAATTGATCAAAATTTGAAATGGATTTATCACATTACGTCATTAATATCCCAAGGTAAGAAGAATCATTTTTAAATTTTATGAATTGAGGAAATTTATGAATAGGAGTTTCCTAATAATTATTTGCAATTCGCTGGTTGAATCTATTTTGCGATATGGTATAATGTGGACTATATGATATTGCACTTCAACCCCTTAATGTAATCCAAAATCGTATAATTAAAATTATCTACAAAAACCAGCATTATATCCTACCTCTCTTTCATATAATAAAAAAGTTGTTACGTTTCTTTTGCTGCATCAAATAATAACAAAGTGCCTAAGCTCAGCTCAGTATATGGGGTGGTTCATATACAAATTTAAAGAAAATGATTATTTAACCCGGCGCCAAGTAATTTGAGCGACGATGGAAAATTTAAAGAATACTAAATTACTAAACTTACTCTCTTTAGTGAGACTTCTTCTGTAAGGGTAAAAATAAATAATAAGAGGTAGAATTTCAATAAAGCAAAAAAATATATATTAACTTTTCTTCAAGATTTATAAATATATTAAGATTGCCCTAAACTCTTGCAAGAGTAGCTGATTTTGGGAATCAAGACAAACTTAAACCCTAAAAATAACTCTATCCCAAAACCAGTTACACAGTTAATAATGTAGAATAACTAAACTTAAATACTATTTATAGAAAAAAAATAATAATAAAATGATTCCCACAGCGGGGTACTTATTTTAAAAGGTTCGAATTCCCTCTCAAGCCGGCTACTCACTACGCGTTACTTGCCGAGTTACTTGACTTGGACTGAACTTGGCAAGTACTTGTTCGAGTACAAGTAAATTGTCTACATTACGCGCACCTTCTAAAGTAGTAGTAGTAACTTTACTCGGATCCTTTTACTCGGTCCGTTTACCGACAATCGACGAGAAGTACAAGTAACTTGCTGAGTCTATACAAGTCTCCATACACATTACATGGTACTTGCAAAGTACTTGGCAAGTACTTGGCAAGTAACGCGTAGTGAGTAGCCGGCTTCAGCCAAATCCACAATAAAAAGCCTCTTAGTATTTTGTTTCAATCACAAAATTCTGTTTTACAGTTCAATTGTTCTACCAGCAGTTGGAAACAATAATTTATCGTTCTTGAAATCAGAACCGGTACCCAAATAAACGTCTAAAAAAAGTAGGAAAACCTTTATTTAGCATTAAAGAAACTTTCCATTTATTATTAGTAAATTTTAAATAATTTTAAATTAATGGGTAACGCAAATTTTACTTTGTAATAATTGAGTAGGATCAATGTGACAACAGTGGCGCATGTAAAACATCATCTACCTCGTTTCAAATTAATGCAGACGATAACTTGGAAATACTACTACTTACCTTGCATGATCCAAATATGTTAAAATAAATTATTTACAAAAAAATATGATTTAAAGAGAAAATATGAAATGTACAGCGTACCGGGAGGCATATACGTATACTGCATACGCACAAGGTATAGCTAAACAATTTGGCTTTTCAAGATTTATCTGACCAATAAGAAAGGGTTGTAAAGTGCAGACGTAGTTTGTCCTAATACGTCTGCAGTTTACTTCGGTGGGTCAACATATTAAGGGCAGACGTGTTTATGCTAATACCACAGCTTATACAATACAGCTAAAACACTCTCTTGGCGGCAACGGTTTGCGTCGATTTCGTCGCGCATCGCTTAAGCTCCGCCTTCGAAGGGAAAAGACGGTTTTGGCGTTCAGAATCGTACTTAGGTAAGTTGTTGAGTCGTGCGTATAATTTCGTTGATTGTATAATTTCGTGGAGCCTATAATTTCGTTGATTTTGTTTGAGTTAAAGGTACTGTTATTATTTTGGTGACTCTTTAGCTATGAGTAGAATAATTAAAAAAAAGACATCATTCTGTTTGTGCAGTCAAAATCTGTTTTAATAAGGGTTATACCTGCAAAAAAACATTCTTTAGTTTTCCCAAGGACCCAAACCGATAAGTACCACGTTATAAAAAATTTTCATTGTTAAAAATATAATTTATACAGGGTGTCCCATTAGTGCGTTATTGTTCATTATTTTGTTGTAGACACGCAAGAAAGTTTTAAATAAAAGTTATATGAATTTGAAAAATACCTACATATTTTAAAAATATCTTTGGATATACAGGGTGTCACGTTTTTGCCTGGCAAATTAAAATGTATGTTTTTTAAATGGAACACCTTGTATTTTATTTTATGATAAAATTATTAACACCCTAAATTATTGTAAAGACGAATTGCTACAGAAAAATTTTATCAGGTATGTGTGTGGTTACCTTTTAACAAAAGCCTTGCGGATCCACTCATGCGATACCTGTCTTAAATATAACAAAGATCACGTTGAATTAGATGATTTTTCTTTTTATTGCCTTTTAAAGGCATATTATAACGCCAATTCAGATACATTTGGAAATCTGCAACTGTCAAATGATGAATTTGTAGAACTAATATTCAATATTGAAAAGATATTTCAAAATAATTTTGAAGAATTGGCTACAAAAAATAACATTTGTACCACACTTTTAGAATTAATTAACCCAATACTCTTTAGTCATCCATGCTAACGTTTTTCAAAAGAATAACTTATTTTATTGTATGTTTAATCTCAATAACTAAAAAATATACTGACAATTAGTTTGACAGAATTGTCATTTATTTAAAATTTTAAAAATAATAGCAGTCGGTTGATTAAAATATGAACGGTGATTGGCGAATTTATTTTTTTTGCAGTGTTCTCACTACCTAGAATGGATATGAAATATATTCGTTCAATTGAAGGCAATAGCATACTTTTTCGTTTTGTAATCTGTGCATGGATATTAGCCAATCTACGCACATACTACAAGACGAAAAAGTATGTTATTGCGTTCAACTACGAATATATTTCATATCCATTTTAGGTAGTGAGAACACTTTAACAAAATTAAATCTACAAATCACAGTTCATATTTTGGTCACCCAACTCCTATTATTTAAAAATGTTTAAATAAGTGACAATTCTGTTAAACTAATTGTCAATATATATTTTAGTTATTGGTATTAAATATACATTAAAATTTTTGTGTAGACTCGATAAATAATAGCATTTTTGTTTTTATTGTGTCCACATTTAAAAAAAATAAATTTTAATCAAACTACATAATACTAATTTAATTACGAGTATTAAAACTAAAGTCCTGAAAGTTTCGGTGAAGATGAGGACAGAGCATCTGCCTTCCACGCAAAAAGCCCGGGATCGAATCTAGGCCGAGGACTAATTAATTTTTCATGTTTATTTTATTTTATAAATTAGTCAACTTCGTAAATTATTTTAAAATTAGTTATTTTGTCTAAATAACCTAAAATAATTTTTTAAATTTGTAGATTTTCGTTAGTGGGTCGTAGAAAAAATATACTGACCATATCGAGTGGATTGTTCATATCACAATCAGACGATTGAGTACTCCGCCTACGACGTCGTGCTCAAACTTCGTCTTTGTGTAATATGGCTATCATATCCACCCTTGTTGAACAAACTACAAATTATTTGTTTTCTTGGTTTAAGTTTTACATCAGAAATAGGAACGAAATGATTTTCTTTTTAAGTTTTCTTGTAAAAATCGATATTACTTTCTCCAAGTACAAATTTAGTACCTACCTAAAATAAGTACTAATTATGTAATATCGTGTAATATTGTAATTCAAATTTCACATTACTATAAAATTTCAAAATTCCCTACTTCGGT